AAAAAAAAAAAAAAAAAAAAAAGAAAAAAAAAAGAATATATAGATAAAAAGGTAATTTATATTTATATATATATAGAGCCTTTATATGCGTCTACGCGTCTATCCATGCATGCATGTATGTAATATTCACCTATATATGTATGTATGCATCTACTCATTCATTGCTATCCATGGTAGCCATGCATGAATGGTTGCTATTCATGTATGCAATTCATGAATGTATTGTATCTATAAGTGCATGCTTGCTATTCATGCATGCAATTCATGAATATACATATATCTATATACTATGCAAGGAGGAGAAAGGAGGTGGAGGTTTAGGGGTGGTGATTTGCTTACCTGTTATCTGGTGGGAGTCTATCAAGAGGTAATGCGTCAGATAATTTCAGATAAAATCCTCCGCCAGTTTTTAGTTCCTCTGTTTTGTTTACCTGCATGCAGCAACAAAGAAACAACAAAAGCTGCTGCTGCTGCTGCTGCTGCTGCTGCTGCTGCTCATTTCCCTTCAACTTCTACTCACTTGTGTCTACTACCTCAAGAAGACCCCAGGTGTTTGTTGCTGCTTGCTGCTTCTTTGTATAGCCGCCTCTTGTACCGAACCGAAGAAAGAAGGAATAAACACAAGACATATAAACAAATAAAGGAGTAAATAAATAATAAAAAAAAACAGAGAAATAATCAATTGTTGAACTTACTGCTACTGCATCAATAGAAGGAGGCATCTCTGCAGGTACCCATTGGGGGTCACCATTGCTATTGACCCCAAGCCTGCCATGCATGGCTTGATCAGAAGAAAAAGGAAAAACAGCCAAAGAATTATACCAACCACGACTAAGAGGCTGCAATTTTTGCATATATTCCTCGTTGCCTACATAAGGCAACGCCTTAGATGCAGAGTCATACTCCTCTAGCAATACGCGAATAGATGCAGCAGACAGGTGACTCGATGCTGAGAGGAAAGCACATGCATAATATACATGTACATATACATATATACACATACGAATCTATACGAATACTAATAATAATAGTACATATTGAATATATCCATATATATACTCATGAATACATGTGTGTGTATACACGTAGGTGGATACATGAACATTCGTCTATAATAATAGTATATGTGTGTAGCAGCACTGAATATGCTGCACCAATGCATCTTGTTGCTCCAGCGGTGCCAGCAGCAGCAGCGCAGCGAGAAACGTGCGTATTATAGACTAACCTTGGGCATCAGTTGATGAATTATAGGTAGATTTCTTTAATAAAGAACTAGAGGCTAAGTAGGCTCCTGTGTTGCGGCTAATTTTCATGAAGACGACCAGCTGTGTTATGACACAAGCCGCCAAAAGAAATAACAGTAAGCAATAACGAAAGGGGAAAGCCCCTGTCCTAAGTCGTTGAAAAAACCTGAAGATAAACCATCGTCGACCCCAACGGAAGCTACCCCTACTGTTCCTGATCCTGTTGCTGTTGATAGAGTTGTTCCCTGGAATAACTCCAGCAACACGGTGGTTCGAGTTACCCCCCGCAGAGGAATTCATGCGGGACCTCCTGCTGCCGCCACCTGCAGATGTAGATGCTGATGATTCAGCTTTATCTGTGTGGATGACCGGCAAAAAGCCGCTCCGCTTTGCCCCCGTCAGCATCTTGAGTAACCGCCGCAGAGGAGGTACAGTGGCTGCAAATGCAGCCAAGAGGCCGAGATCTCAGTTTGAACTCCTCCACCACAGATGGGCATGGCTCATTTAAAGCAACTGTGGCTCAAAATTGCTGCCTTGTTCTTGAACGAAGGGAGTTGAACAACGTGTCAGGGCTTACAGCGAGCTCCGGCGAGCCGCTTGTGGAGAAATGGAAACCAGTGGGGAAAAAATGTATGACAAGCAGGAAACCGTCTTGAATGTCAATAAAAGGAGTATATTAACTTTGTTATTCAATTGAATTAACGGAAGTGCGGGCTCTTCTAACAGCATATCGCGGCGAACTCGGCATGGCTTGATCTGGCGGTTCACCGCGCTGCAGTTCAGCCCCGCCGATTTGGTGCTAATTTTGAGGAAACATCCTTAACAATGGATACTAATAAGAACTTAATAACAAATAAATACTTGTATTTAGATATATTCATTGAACTTCCCTCAGACAACGCCTTTATGGTACACGGCTCCGCTGGTGTGCCAGTGGACACCTAGAGTGGTGCACTGGTCTTGCACAAGGTGCGTTGTTTATCCTTTTCCCCCATTTATTTTGTTTATTCTGTAATTTAATCAAGTTGAAGTTGTTTTTTAGCTGTTCTTCGTCGTGTGTGGCAGCCCTGTCATCGTGGCTGTTGTCCACCTTAGATGGCGAAACAAAGCGGTATTCTGTTGCACACAACAAACGAGCTGTTTCCAGTCTGACATTGTAACGTCACTAACAAATAGTTAAAGTAGGGAAATATTCTTTAGGTTTCTTCTAAAAACAACCTGGGACTCGTCTGCCTGCCGTCACAGTCTTGCTTGTTCATGTTTTGTGTTGGGAATCAAAGCACATATGCAAACAGTGCTTTGCTGTCTCTTTATGCCGGGATGCAAAATGAAGATATGGGATTGTTCAGTGCAAATACTTTGTAGTTAATCAACTAATGTTGTATAACGTGCATGATTTCGTGCATTATCCCAATGTACAGTAGGTTCGATGCAGCGTTGGCCTGCCCAGCTTAAGAAGATCGTGTTGTTCTACCATAAACACACAAATAAATAGCAGATTGCTTAAAAGGGTAAAACGCAATGCCGGCCTTATATATAGCCATATGGAATCTTGCCAGAAATATTGTCGTGAAAAAGCTGTAGCTTCTCTCTTTGAATAGCTTGTCATCGTGCAATATCCTCTCTGCCAGGGAGCAGTCACACAAAAGACGCTGTGATTTGAGGCAGCTTATATGTGGGTCAAGAGGCTGCCTTGGAATCCAGTTTCTCTCTCAATAACTATTGCTGTATAGTTTCAATTCAAGCCTCTCTCTGTTTTACACATGTTTGTTTTAGAGCTAAGGAAGAAAGAGTAGGTCCTCTATACATGTCTGCTGACATTTCGCTGTTCTTCTTTCACTTCTAGGCTGTCTATTGTTGGCTATATGTTATATATCTATCTTTCTCCGTTATCTCTGTTTTCCTCCCACTTTACCTCACTGATGCTAATAAAGGCAGCATGAATATAAGTTGGCAGGGTAATCGCCTTTGTAGCTGTTTAAACATCCGTGAGAACACCGTGGATATTATAACCCTTTGCATGCATATAATTTCTATTATGGTTGAATATATTATCTCTGTTCATAAACGATGCCTTAAGAGAGCACACCAACAATCAGAAGATATGCTGTAATTGATTGAAATCGTTAGCTGCCTTTTGCGCTAGCAAGAGGCAGCTTATCTCATTAGTTCGGTGTCTAGTTCTCTGCTGTGCAGAGGAATAAGAAAGCCGGAAAAAAGGAATCTGTCCTGACGTATACGGACAGGTGCATTGTGCTAGTTGCAGATGCTTATGTGATGACTGTGGGAACGTCTGTGCCGACGTATTCCTTGATTTTGCAAAAGGCAATTGCATAAGCAATTAAGTCCTTTAGAACTTCTTGAGGTTTCTTCATGAGACAGTCTTCCTTATCCTCCACCAACTCAAAGTACATGCGAATGGTAGCCCCGCTGCTTCCAGTGCCTGAGAAAAAGAACGGCCAGAGAGGGTGCCTTCAATTTGTATAAATCATTTGAACAAACGCAACTCATCCAGCTAGTGCATTTTATGATTGCACTTAGACGAGGCACCCGATAATGCCTCCAACTTTGCCTTTTGTCAAACAATTTTTGCGGTATATACCCACTGGATAGCAGCAACAGCAACTGCAGTACCAGCGGCAAGTGCAATAGCAGGAGCAGCATCGAGGTGCATTGGGCTGGTTTGGCTCGCTCACCTGACAGTCTCCAGATGGCCCTTCCTTTAGGGAAGAAGAGGCGAATTCCCTGGTTGTCGGCGACAGAGTGGTCGATGGGGTCTGTGTATTTGAAAACATCAATTCTTTCTGCTTTTAGTTTGCTCTGCAGTTCTGCTGGAACTGTTGCCTTAATGTGGCTCTCGAGGGCCTCCTTGCCCCCAGCCGTCAGCAGCTTCAAGGCGGCCATCATTTCGTTGGCTGCTGTGCTGCTCTTGTTCTCGAAGTCGTATCTGAAGCCAAATCAAACAACAAAAATGTAACAGAGAAATAAAACACAAGCCCATCCATACTGCCCCGCTTTCACAAGCTCGGGGTGGCTACCGCCTACGATTTGGCGCTTATGGTGTGGGCGCTTCTAGGGTTGAACGCTCTGCGCCCCAAGGGCTTGGGGAATGCAACTAAAGGCACTATGTACATTTATGTACGCAAAGAGTAGAATATTAAAGTGGTACACAGTAAAAGCTTGAATTCAAATGCTGTACAATGGGTTGAAGACACAAAATGCGCAAATGCAGTAGAATGACATAAATGTCTTAAATGCAGTACAACTGTAGGAATAAATATATTGAATGCATTATGACTTGGTAATTGCACCGAGAGCAAGCAAATGCTATTAATATATAGCAGGGAATACAATAATACAGATACTTCAACTGAACTGCAAGGGCACACATGCACTGAATATGCAATAGAATGATGTATAGATATCTAAAGAATAACAGTGTCAAAAGCATTTTAACAGTATAAATGTACAACCACGAACCTCATGTAATAGTTTCTTCCGAATTCTTTCCAGAATTCTTCGACGATCTGTTGAACTCCTACGAAGTTTTCTAGGGTTGCCGGAGGCGTTTGGGGGATGAGCTTTCCCTCCTTCTGCATTTCGAGTTCTTCTTGCATGTTATCCATGAGGCCGTTGCGGTAAGCCAAGATCGACAGCCAGCAGAGCACTGCCCACAAGCCGTCTTTCTCGCGCACATGAACCGACCCAGTTCCAAAGGATTCCTCCCCGCAAATAGACAACTTCCCCGCATCCATCAAGTTCGTGAAGTATTTCCAGCCCGTTGGCGTCTCGTACAGCTCTTTGCCTGAAGAAAAAGCGAGAAAGAAACTAAATAGAAAACGGTTCCCCCTTGCTCTCCAGACAGGCAGCCTACCGAAGCGTGAAGCATATTATGCAGCAAACACAGACATAAAAACAATCATTTTGGCACACGGAGGAGAAAAAGCTGACACTAATACTAAAATACGAACGCGATACACCAGCATGCATATGTACATAGATGCAGCCGGCAAATAGAACAAACCGACAAATGTGCGGCACACAATCTACACAGAACGAGAACAAAGCCCCAATATGCGTGGCATGCGTGCGACAAAAGAACAAAGTGAAACAAACTCTTACCGAGTTTTTTTGCTACACTGTCAAGGGCCATTGATGTGGGCATGGACCTTGCGACTCCTTTTAACCCTCCACTTCCGTCTTTATTTTTCATGAAAAAAGGGATTACTTTCTCAGCGTACATCGCAATAATGGCGACAGAGTCGCTGGGAGTCACGAAGAAACCAGGACCTGCAAGGCAATCACAAATCATACGAAAAAATGTTGGAATTCGGAGAAGACCCAATGGAAAAATAACACACCAATGCTAGAAGAGAATGTATATGCAGCGAAACACGAAAACTGCCAAAATATATTACCTAGAATCATATTGCGGTCGCAGTCTCCATCTCCTGCAGCCCCGAAGAGAGGCGTGCTGCTGTCAACTTTCTCAGGAGAGAAAATTTTCATTATCTCCACCAACTCCTTTGCGTACTCCAAATTCGGGTCGGGATGGTGACCTCCGAAATCCGGCTGACAATAACAAAAACAAAATTGTCGGGGAATTCGTTGTATGTTCGTTGTATGCATGCATGCATGCATGCATCAGTCCAGCATAACCATGGGCTACTTGCGTGCATACGTGCATTGGTTGATGCAGCGCCTTGTGCTGCACCAGATGCGCGCACGAACCAACCGCGGCGGCACATCTTCAGCAACATGCGTTGCAGCGGTGGCGTGAGCTGATGCTTACGAGGGGTTTGCAGCACCGGAGGCAGCTGGGTTTTGCCCCCAGCTCCTGTACGAAAAGGCGTTCTGCTGCAGGGCCCGCGACGCCGTTCATGCCGTCGAAGACAAAAGAAAACGGAGACTGCAACAATCTCTTTAGAGCAGGAAAGTGAAACACCGCCTTCATTAGGCGCAACCAGTCCTCAGTGCCGTCGATCACCTCTGCCTGTGCAGCCACACAAAAAGACAACTCTGGTGGTAAGGCGAACTAACGAACAACGAACAGAGAAGAGCCGTGACACTATGTATCATATAGAGAACAGCAACACAAGCACCACAACCGACATTAACACGAGCAACAAAAGAGAAGGAAAGGAGCGACACGAACGCATACAGACAAAGCCGGTGGCATTGAACCAAAGGTACTCTTTTCACATAGTAATGAACAGAAAACGGTTGAGTTTCTTGCAGTGGTCCCAGAAACTAAGCGGTATTTCAGGTTGTGCGACGCAGTAGGAACCCCCCTCTGCTCACCATGAACTGTTCCTTTATAAGAACCTTGACACCGTAGGAGTCCAAATCAAAGTCCAGCAATTTAACATGTTTTATTTCTTTTATGACTTTCGTCCGCTCGTACACCTGATTTGTCAGGCCTTCTAACGCAGGCGCTGCAGCACAAACAGGCAGCAATTGCACAGGCAGTTCTCTTCCCATCAAAAATACAGTCATCTCGCATTGTGCCTCTTGCCATGCATTCAAGTGGTAATTGAAGAAGACAGAAGACAGGATACAGACAATACACGAAGTATATAGCAAGGAAGGCTGCTGCACAAAACAAATTCACGCATCACCCCATTCGGATCTAATTTTGCATACACCTCAAACCCCAGTTGTAAACTGTTAACCCGAGAAGTATGAGAAAAAACCGAATAAAGCACTCAGAGTGCGGCATAAGCCGTCGGTCAGCTACGGGTGTGTTGTGGAGAAATGCACATAATGTCGCTCGAACGCTGCTGCAGTTAAAAGCAGCGAAGGAGAACGAACAGATGGACAAACAAACTAAAAGAAGCAAGGACAACCAGCAAACCACAGTTAAGCGGGGAGCTGGCACACAACCAGATAAGCGAAGTCAGCCGAATAAAACGCACACAGTACAGCATCCGGTCGGTCAGCGAGCAGACAGGGAACAAAATAACCAAACAACTGAACAGCCAACAAGCCACTCGCCAGATTAATCGCTTTTGCGTACCTCCATTGGCTGTGTTGTATTTAACGCCGAAGTCCGCATCAATGCCTCCGGGATTGTGAGAGGCTGTCAAAATAAACCCGCCGAAGGCAACCCCTTCTTCTCGAAGACGCAGAATAGCACTGCATGCAGGGGTTGAAGCCAATCCATCCTTAGCTGAACAAATATGAGATCACATTATATATCAACCCTTGCAGGAGGCGCAGACAACTACACCAGTGGATAGCAGAAGAGAGGAAAAAAGTACCCGAAAACCCAGCCGCCAGAGAAGCTAGTAGACGAAGTTAGTGGTAGCTAAAAATGAAAAGCACTTCAAAAAAGTAAACTGAAACACGGACAGAAAGAGAAGGGCCTCTATCGACAGTCCTAATCTTGAATTATTCATTAAATTAGTAAAGGTAATAATAATCATCCATTTACCCGTGTGTAAACTGAAACGATGGACTTCACAGCAACCAGCAACAAACAAGCAGCAAAACAGCACACAAGACCAAACAGCAACAAGCAACAACCAGCAGCGTAGAACAGCAAAAAAGCAAGAATAGCAAACCTCAAACTGTAAACAAGAATAATCAACAACACGAAATGGAGAACCAAAAGCCAAACAGCAACAACAAACCCACCTATCCAAACTCTGCCCACGCCGTTGCCTGCTGCAATGGCTACAATCTTCTTAATTGCTTCGTCGCAAAAGTAGCGGCCATCTCCTGCAACCAGCATTGTACCTCCCCGAACTTCAGACTGAGGGAGGCAGTCGAATACTGCCTGCAGACACCCACGCAAACCCTAAACCCCTACACTTAGTTTTGTTGCTCTCGCACACACATCCTTGCGACTTTCTCCTACGGCATCCATGTGAGCCATGTGAGCCCATCCTATTCCAAGCATAAATGTAAATATAAGGATGTTTTTTGTTGCAGTGGACCTTTGAATACAAAACAACCCATTCATGCACATCTCAAATAAAACCAACACATATACAGATCTGCACTAGAGGCCACTAGTTTGAACCAAAACGTTAAACGAAACCAGAAAGCACAAAAAATAACACACAATTTACCGACCTGCACAGCTCAATTCTTATTCGTATGGAAACGAGAAGCACATACACACAGGGAATTATCTCATGAGCTCACAATAACCAGGAAAGCCACACAAGACATAAAATCAGAAACAAATGCATGCCTTATTACAATTAGAATAAAACGACGACGTAATAAACATCCCTGCACAATAATAGAATCAAAGACAAAAAGAAAATAAAACAAATAAAAGCCAACTTCTTAGCACACCTGCACATAGTTTGACAGATAGCCGGGCTGCATGAACTCGCGGGTCTTCTTTCTTAGTCCTTCACACAAAAAAAAGCAAACGCAATTATAGCCAAAGTCAATTAACGGCAAAGACAGCAGGGAGCAGAGGAACAGCCAAGGAGGAGGCAGATAAGCAACCGGGCACCACGAAGCAAATAAGCAGCACAACAAAGAACAAACATCTTGGTTCTTTTTAACCAAGCAAAACCAGAGAAAAGATGGAACGGAAAGCAGCATAGAGTAAATGAAGAACCAATAACAGAGAGGAGGCAAACAACAAGCCCTGAATGCTGACTGCATGCGCAGCACAAGAGATAAAAGCAGAAAACAATAAATGCAGCATAAAGTGCAAACCTGATGTGCCCGGCTTCTGCCCTTCAAAGGGAGTCGTCGCCCGCACCGACGCCGACTCGGCAGGGACTCCACTGTACTTCACTGAACACCACACAGACCACACACATGCACATATGGAGTTGTTTCTGCTGCGTGCATGCAGTTGTATCCATTTGCACGCAGCATCAGGGTAGAATGAAGCGTGACGTCTAATTGTTTAAATTGGATATGTACACAAAGTCCAATCACAAAGTGCGTGTACCACTGGGGGGCGCTTAACAATGTTGCCGTGCTGCTGCTGCTGCTGCTGCTGCAACCGCTGGCGTACCTGTCATTTTGGCTGCGTCTGAAGCCACGACAGTCTCGACCTGCATACAGATCACAAGAATGCGCATAGACTACTTGGAAGGGAAAAGAAGGGTTTGCGCAGCACAGAGCTGACTCCCCTCCCTCTCGCTGGTCAACTCCCCGCCTCCCCTGCTGCGGTGTCCATGCACAGCATCCCCGTGCACGAATACAAGCGCAGCCACACAAGTGCAGCACCAGCATCTTTTCTGTGATGCGGACAGTTCGTGAATTTCTCAGGCCGTCGGCCTCAAAGGCGCCGATTCCTCTGTCTGGAGCAGTTGGGGTTTAACTGCATTTACGGGTGTGCCCGTACAGCGAAAGGAGAACTGAGAGGAGAAGATAAATGATAAATAGCGCATCTATGAGGTGCACACAAGTGCCCCGGGGTCACCTGAAACCTGCTGTGTTCTCCTGCTACTGCTGAGGCAACTGCAGCACGAACGTGTGTAGCGCCACTAGCAGCAACGGCGTGCTGCCGCCCTCTTCTGTGTCTTTTGCTTGCTGCTCTAGCAGTTAATAAAAAGGAATTAACAAACTTGTGAAAGACAAAAACGCGCTTAGCAAAGCCGGGGACACATCACCACCACCGACGACTGCCGCTGCCGCTGCTCCTGCTACTCGGGAAGCGGTTTCCTACTTACACAGATTTATGAGGGCGAAACCTTCAGAATGAGGCAATCAATACTTCTTTGAAAAGATCCCCCTGAAAAGGCTTCCTTCTGTTGCTGCTGTTGATCCTGCTGCTGTTCCTACTCCTCCGGCTGCTGATGCCTACTGACACTGACAGCAGCCCAGTGGCGACCGACAGCGGCCGCTGCTGCTGCCGCCGCCTCTCTGCTTGACCATGCTTTCTTTGAATTAAATGAACAATAAATGCAGCTGAATATTAAATATTTTGCATGATGGTGTAACTGCTTCTTACATGAGGAAAACAGCAGCAACAGCAAGCAACAGATAGCGCACATCTCCTCACATATTGCTCCACTGCGATTTGTTTGCACCTTTATTTCCCTCAAGAAATCAGTATAGATGATAATTATTGAATAACAGGTTCTCCCGCGGAAAATCCTAAACAGCAGAAACCAATGCAGTGATGCCCCGTGTACGTGTGGAAACACAAACATTTACATATCAATATGCGCACGAAAAATTATGCATATATAAACACACATATACAATTATGTACTCACACATATGTACACACATATATGTTGCTTCAGTGTGAAGGTGGATTATCCCTTAACGTAGGGGAGATGAGGCAATAAGCCTGCTCAAAGAACCCACCTTTCCACACGACTTAAACGGCGGCAAGGTTCCCCCCTGCCTCAGGCATATCCTGCCTTTAGACAAAGGCAAGAATATAAAAGATACTAAGAACAAACTACATAGGCAATATATGGAAGATGTAGATCATACCCAACATCTACCCCAGTATCTGCAGCCCGGCAGTGCCGAGGTCCACTGTTTGTTTCTCCCTAGGCCTCGTTCCCTTCGAGGACCAACGAGAAAAAGATGCGTGCGTGCTTCCAATTTGAACAGGGCAAAACTCCTGTAGCACCCATCCTCCATCTACACCTCTTGAGAAACAATAGACGAACAAAAGCTCTACGCCCGTTAGGAACAGCTTTAACTACCTGGGCAGCTGCGGCAGCAGCGACTGCCGAACGTCGATGCGCGCCTAAATGCAAGTCCCTCCCCACCATCATCCCCTCTAGACGTGTCCCTTTTCCCTGTGCTCCAACTTCCTGCCGACTCGACTAGATAAAAAACAGAACATTTTTGGTTTCGAGCGTCGCTCTAACCTTGCTGGCAAGCGCCGATGGTCCTGTGTGGTTGTCTTTTTGTAACTGAAAATTACCTTCTGAGAAGCTATCTGGTCAGAAATCTACATCCTCTAGCCAGTATTTCAAACTGTACACCTGACTCGTCTCCTCTAAACGATAGTTCTGCCTGCCTCAACAGCTGAACATTCTTCTCCCCTCTCCTGAACGCCTCATTGTGAGTTCATGTTGCGTGTGCTGCTATCGTTTTGGGGTTCTGCAAGACTTGTCCATGTATTTTCCAAAGGAAATAGAGTAAACTCGAGACCGCACTTAAACAACAGACTGCTTTACTGCAATTAAAAACGAACTGCTTTATTGTAATTAAATAATCTGAGCAGCAAGAGAGTTAGAGACGTGCAAAAGAGACACGCAGCCGGAGGGCGGCACAAATGCTGAACAACAAACCGCTCCAACCCCAGAGGCAATAAAAAGAATGAAGAGGAAGCAAACCCAACTACCCACAACCCTTTGCTGCTGCTGATGCCGCAGCTGCTATTGCAGCTGCAGCTGCTATTGCTGCGACTTGTGTATCCCCTGCAGCACCTCCAACCGCAGCAGCCTCGGAACGCAGCTACGAGAACCGCTGCTGCTGCCGCAACGGGGCAGCAGCAGCAAAAGCAGCAGCAAACAGCAACACGAGCAGCAAACGCTGCTGTCCCCTTCGAACAGGCGCCATACCCTTCCACACCTGCGACCGCAGCGTGAGCGGTGCTGCTGCAGCTGCAGCAGATTTCCTGTACTTCCGTTTCCGTTAAGCTTTCCTTCGTCTGTCTAGTCGGTTCTGAACAGCAAGTAAACCCCAAGCCCAAGGCCACAAGCCAAACGCATCAAATCAGCACTCTAGCACTAGTCAATAAAGCAAAGGCAAGAAAAAACGAGAAGTCCCTTAAGCACTAGCTTGAACCCGCACATACAGTCCAGGTCTTGCGCGCCTAGGATTTAGCACTCAAACTGTTCGCATATATGCCTAAAGGTATGCGCATGTATGACGCCGTATGATGCAAACGTTTCAAGTCTAGCGTCCCCCGCTCTCGTTTCCGCATGTGATATTTCGAGCTTAGGGTTCACAGTCTACGAGTCTAGAATATAGGGTTAGCAAATCGGCTATAGGGTTTGGGGGTTTAATCATGGGGTTTAGCATCTCGTGTATAGCCAGGTCAAGTTTATGGTCCAGTGTATGTCCACTAGGGTCAGCAAATTTGTTTACGGTTGCGAGTTCACTCATATGGTTCTAGTGTCTAGGATTTCGGGTTTCTAAGTTTATGGATTAGGTTTTATAGTCCAGGGTTGGTACGTACGACTTGTTGGCGAGGGTTGTGGAGAGCCAGTCGAGACCTTCGAACAGGCCATCTCCAGCAGTGGCGCATGCAGACTGAATATACCAATGTCGATTTCTTATAGAGTAGAGCATCAATTTGTCGGTTATCTCGGGAACGCTCATGGCATTCGGCAAGTCTTGTTTGTTTGCGAACACCAGCAACACCGCATCCCGCAGCTCGTCTTCACCTAGCATGCGGTGAAGCTCCTCCTTCGCTGTAGCAGGGCAAACAAACACCTCTACGCACCACCATCTACACGGACGGCACTGTCGCGCCAACAGCACCAAAGTAAATGCTAAAGAAGCACCTAGAACACAAATACTAACGATACCCGCACACACGAAAGCAACAGCCAATGCAGCAGCAACAGCAACACCAACATCACCAGCTGCAGCAGCAACACCAGCACTGACAGCAACGACAGTAGCAGCCGAAATAGATGAACAGAAACCGCAACATCAGTAGTAGCAGTAACAGAACTTTCAGCAGCGGCGAAATCTGCAGCAGCAACAGAAGGTGAGGCAGATGCAGCAGCAGTACCATCTACAATGCGTTCTCTGTCGTTTGAGTCTACAACAAAGATGATGCCGTGGGTGTTGGAGAAATAATGCCTCCAGAGAGGGCGAATCTTATCTTGGCCCCCCACGTCCCACACTGTAAAGGAGATGTTTTTAAACTCAACTGTCTCAACATTAAATCCTAAGAACACAACAACAACAAATTGTAGACAACGCCTTCATACACACTACGCCCACCAGCACAAACTTGTAGAAACTCCCTAAGACTGCAAGGAGGTACAAAAGATGAACAAAACCACAGTACAGCATCACCGTCATGCAGCACAATGCGATGCAACAAACTGCATGCAGACGCATTACCAGAATCACATCCATACACGCAGACTCATACCGGCCTGCATATACACAAGTAGGAAGTGTGCTGCTGTGTGTGGACTATTGTACTGTGCCATGCATATTTTTGAGGGCATAAATGCAAACAAAAACGAAAATGACCCGTATCCATTCAATAATAACACAAAATACATCGCCAGCCACCATCCACTGCAGCAGGGAGAGCAATAAAAACCCCAAGCATAAGCAAATTCAATAAGACTAGCGGCACAGTAGGAGCAGGCAGGTCAACGAACAAAAACAAATAAATGTACACACAAGCTGCTGATTCAGCAATAGCTGCAACAGCTTCTGCTGTTGCTGTTCAACTCGAACGAACAGATACACCGGAACGTCCGTGTGAAGAAGGAGACTATTCGAGCAGCAACCCGGAGCCTCGCAGGGCCTATGACTAGCCTACTGCTACCCCACGCCCGTCAGCAACAAGACAGTGCAGCATCAGCGACAACAGAGCACACGACAGACACAAGAGGTGGGATCTGGAGGCATCTGAAGCAGATCACGCTCCTGGGCTAAATGCTGCTGTTTGTCGTCGCTGCCTCTGCTACTCCTGCTGCGAGGCTGCTTGAAGCAACATCGAGTGCAGGGTCTTCTGGGGAACTCCAGCGAGGCGAAAATGCCGGTAAGAGAGAGCTGGTGCTTTGAGGAAAAGAGAAAGACAGTGCAGCCTATAACGGCAACAATAGGCCGTCAGGGGGAGTGTGCCTGCTACCTCCAGCGGGCGAGACGGGGGATGTGAGTTTGCAAGAAGATTCAATTGAAGGCGAATGGCAGAGCGAAAGTGCACAAGGGGCATGCCGAGAAGTACAGACACCAGAAAAGGCCGAACTAGGCCGCAAGCAGCCCAAGACACACTCTAGGCTATATTAATGCAGCGCAGCAGTGCGGCTGAAGGCTTACCAATCGTAGGAATGGTGGTGACGACTTCTCCAAGCTTAAGTTTGTATAAAATGGTTGTCTTGCCTGCTGCGTCGAGGCCAACCATCAATATGCGCATCTCGCGCTTGCCGAAGAGGCGGCTGAAGAGCCGGCTGAGAGAGAGCCCCATCGTTTCTGCTGCTGTGATGAAGAAAAAGGAATAAAGGAGAAATATTCCCTCCCCTCTAAACGCGCTCAAGTCCGAAACAAACAGCAGCTGCAAGCAGAAACAGCAGCAGCCGCAGCTCCTACCCAAAGGCGCGCTGCTGCTGTTGCTGTTGGTAGCAGTAGGGTAGGCGTTGTAGCGCGTACAAACGAAGCTGAACTGTAGATACACCCCAAGCAGCCAGCGTACTTCTCTGGCCTTTTAGTTCTCTCCGTTGCAATTAAATGCCTCGAAACGTGCAAATAGAAGACACTTCAACGCAACAGAATGCGGCGTGGGCACAACTCTCTTGCTACGCACGCTGTGCTGCTGCTGCAGGCTTAACGTATGTGATGTAGGCCACCACGCACGTTAGAGCCGCCCTGCACCAGAATGAGTACTGCAGCAGCAGCAGCAATTTTTAAAGAAATGTCTTTGTATTCACTTCACTAACTGTAGTGTTTATTCGGCAGCAGACACTCCACACCCCTCCTTCCCCTCCTTTGCTCTTCCTCTGGGGGCGCCTGCTCTGTAGCAACTCAACCACTATGACGTGTGCAGCAGTAGACCTTACCTATTTTCTCCTCCAGTATTTTCTGTGTTTATATCTCCGTATTTCCCGACCAGACGCGTATACTCAAAGCAATGCCTATCTTAAAATTGAGTTTTCGGCTTGAGCTGCAAGGGAGAGTGGGGCCGCAGCTGCAGCTCCTCAGGTGCTCCACTGCGCCATAGGCAAATAGGGTGATAGTGCTAGTTTAATTCCTCAACAAACTTTCTGGAGATTGAAGTTTCAAATTCTTTTCATAAACACTAACCCCTAGGCTTGTGCTTCGATCCATTCCCTCCCGCTTGACCCTCTATACAAGCTTCAAAGGCGCGTGTGGTGTGATGGTGGGTCGTCGTCTGCCTGAAATATATGGCATGGTCTGGCTGGTATTGGTACTTTTATTTTTAGTTGATTTCACGTATGCTGCTGGATGCGATGCCAGGCTTTAATTTTTATCAAGGGCGCAAGTGCATACCTAAGGAAGCCCCTCCGTTGCTTCGTCTGGTTGCAATTAGGCAGTTTGACTAAGTTGGCCCATGAATCAGTATTCGGCCATATTAGGCGTCATGCATTCAAATAGGGAGTAGGCAGTCAGTAAGAAGTTGTGCACAATTGTATTCAGTGCCAGTGCATGCAGCCCCCGTTCTCCTCTAAGGTGGGCTGGCTTGCAGGATGCATTGCAGCAAGGTGCATTGCAACTTAGGTCAGGAAGCCTCCTCTCCCGCAGCTCCAGGCGCTTGGGCGGCGGTGCGGATGCGTAGAGGGTGGGGAGGGATGTCACCTGGTTGTATAGAACTCAGCATTAGTATTATGCAACCCTTCACGTTTCCGTGATTAGGATAAAGGGCTCTTGCTACGGGCTTGGTCAGTATGCATGCTTTTGTATTCTACAACGAGACTTGCCAACACACACTCGAGGAGAACGATGAGCTGTAGACATCCAAATACATTCGGCAATTTATTCAGTAAGCGGCATATCGTCTAGTCTCCAGGCAGCTTGTATACAGCGGCCAGAGGTTCTGCTGATCAGGTGGACGAGGACGCTTCATACGTCCCTTCAAAACAGTCCAAGTTCTTCAAAGCGCCTGGCTAAAAATAGTGCCGAGAGGCAACCATCCATGCAACCAAGCTTCGTTCTGCTACATGGAGTTAAAGCATTACTGAGCAATTGTTGAACAATTTCTTGTTTCTTAGTCTCTAGCGTACACGCAATTAGCGATACTCGGGCGAATTCGGGAGGGTGTACCTTGGAAGCAAGTAGGGCATTGGTCTTTGATATTGCAGGCACGGAACATGAAATAGGGAACTGGAAAAGGAACAGCCTAAACTGCACTGCAACGGGAGCTAACTAGACTACCAAGAAAGCCCATTACACACATTTCCCATTGAAGCACGCCCAGTGACTCTCACTTGTGTTGCCAAAAGCCGTGAACAGCCGAATCGGCAGAATCATCTCGCCTCCACATTGCGTCAGTCGACTTCTGCATTGATGTTCAGGAAGTACTACAGCCACATACCACAGCATGAGAAGCAGAACGGGCGGCTTAACTGCCAGCAGCGAGAACGTCCGCATTACGTGTATGTTCATTGCAGCCGTTTCTGCCACTGAGCCCCCGCCGACGGCAGAAATGATGCACGAGTCGGTAAGACTGCTGCCTACATAGATCCCATATCAGAAATGAATCATGCTGGCTTTATTTGAGACGATTATGCTGGACCGGTTCACCACTTCACATTAAAGATTGCATGCAGCGTTTTCCACTCCCCTCACTGTAGATGACACCAATGGTAATTGCAGTGCCTTGTGCATCATCTATGGTAAGAGGAGAGGAAACAGTGCCCCAGAAACGAAGCTACATGGCTCCAACACGGAGTGAGGGCGGTATAAGCTCAAATCAGAAACGGACAATACTGCCTTGTGATGAGACGTTGGACCAGCAACAGCATTATCGCGGCAAACGCATTAGATGACTCAGTCAGTGACGGAGATGCATACCGCTTGGAGGCGACAGAACTGAATTCCGTGGGCAGGTAAGCACTTAAAATCAGCATGCATCCGCTTTGACAAAAGTGTTTGCATCACTTACAATAGGGGTAGGGAAGCTATGTTCGCTTACTTTGTAATTTCCGGTTCGCGGCCCCAGCAGCTACTGTTTCCCGCTCTCTTAGAATAGCCCTCCGATGAGCTATGGAGAGGGAAGTTCTGAGTACGGAGCGTCTCATGTGCTTTTTCACCAGGAGCCTACCGCAGCTCTAGAGCCTGCACATTTTGCAGGTGCTCCCAAAGGAGACACTTCTTAAGTAGTGTTGCTACAATCGTACCTCTACAGGAAGTGCCAGGAGCAAGCGCTGTAGGCTTTCAACGACATGGATCTATTTTAGACTCAAGGAACGACTCTACTTCCACATCGTGTAGGCTTCCGCCGTATTTATACTGTTAGCATAAGCGGAGGTATGCTTCAAAAAGTGCAGTCGTTGTATAGGGGAGTACAGCGAGTGGGTCGCAGGTTTCGTGCACATTACAGGACTGTAACTCACCAGACTATTCCTGGATTCACGTTAATAGGAAGAGCCCTGGTATATATCTATTTCACGCGAAAAGAAGACGAACTCGACATCCCAAAAGACTTTTCAGAAGCGTGCCCATAGCATGCCCCTTAAGATCTAGCGGCGCGTCGAAGGGAGTCATAGGCTCCAGCCTTATCATGTGGCCTTGATGCTCTACATGAGTAGCACTGCACTTAGCCCAAAAGCAGACATAGGATATTGCTGACTCTAGGCTGCCTGATTACAGCGATCGTGTTGCCTGGGTATGCTGTCTACAACACAGCTCCTCCACCGCTGTTGAAGACCGCTGTCAATTAATATCGTTCACTTTACGCTCTACAAAGGAAACTCATTGCCAACTTCTGGCTCTAACCTGAGTTCCCTGAAATTCCAGTATAAAGCACATACATCGCCATATGCCTACTATACAGTTGCTGCGACGGTCCGAGCACGCTCTACACTCTGTATTGTATTTTGTACGCTAGTGAATTGCTAACTACATTTCTACTTCATGGGTTCTTATATATATTATTTGAGGGTCCCAGGAAGTCCTGAATGCTTAGTAGTGTATGCACCCAACACATTCCACGCAGTGTTTCTACCCTCGTGTAATGCCTTCGAACCGTAGCATTGCATGCTGTCCCCTTTGCATTGGCAGGTCCACGTAAGTTAGGTTCGTATGCCTGTACTGTGCACGGGCCATTGCAAGCTGGCTTTGCTAGCTGAGAGGCATGTTGATTGGCTTGGGACAAGTGAAAAGTTGTTGCGAATCTGTACGCAAAATGAATTTGCGCTTCTTGGAGGGCAGGAGGCTCAACTTCCACAAAGTGGCAGGATGGTTCGCAGGCTTGAGCACATGAGCGACGAACAACACAAAAAAGATATGCAGTGAATCGATAGATGTTTAGTGATCCCAGCGGCCGCCTCCGGTATCTAACGCGCCTGCAAAAGTAAGGAGCCATGATTGTTGTATTTGTCGGCGTAAATCCGCCTGTCGATGCCTTTGCTTGTTAAGATTGCATTATGTCAGTACTTTCACCTGCTCATTTATCGTTACTGCACTTCTCTCGGAAGTACATTGCCCCTACTGGAGTGCTTGTTCAGAATGTCCGTCCTTCGTCGACCCTGGTGCTTCCCGCGATGGTCAGCCCCTATTCTAGCTTGAAAGAAGGCCGCTTGGCAAGCAACTAATTCACCAATTGACCAACTGATTCAACAATTAATCCATTAACGAGCCCTTGCGCGTCATGTTGGAATTTGGTCAGCTACACTATGGTCCAATACCAAATAAGCGAGGATAAGCATGCATGCACCCTACGAACATGTGCCTGCAGTCACCTTTGATTTTCCTGTGGAACAACTACAGAAATAACCGTGCAACATGGTAGGTGTACATCATCCAAGCAATTTGGACTGTCTACGCACAAAAGCGAACTTGCACCGTCTAGCGGACCCTGAGGAGTCCTTTTGCACGTCTGCTGCTATCTAATAATGTGAAGACACACAAGCACATTTGAATGCACTTATCGAGATGGGAAACTGGCAAAAATGCCTCAACCCCAAAGCAGGTCCCTGTAAACCACAGCTGAGGCCGAAACAAATACCTCACAGCACAGCTGTCGCTGCTTTTGCAGCCCTGCTGCAGCTGCTGACCCTGCTGTAGCTGCTACCCATGCTGCAGGTGTTGCCGCGTCTGCTCTACCCTGCCGAGAAAAAGCAAAGTTTCCCCTTAAGACCAACAAGTGCATTCGTGAATGCCTCGAAGGCGCATCAGCACCAACTTCAACAGCACTTCGACACGTCGGTTTTCCTGTTGTCGTAGCGGCTTTTTATCACACCACATTGACAGCTGTTGCTACTGCCGCAAGCAGCTCAACATGTGCCCACACACGACCCCCCAACCACCTTGCAGCGAATGTAACTCACAGAAAGAAGGGCAAATTCAGCTCCTCCTCTCCCTGATAGCCCTCAGAACAATAATTCCACAGAAATAAATGGGAAGTGTGCAGCTGTACATAACAGGCAAATAGTATAATATACGCAACAGTGCTAGCAGCTTCAGCGCCGGCACGAGCAACGACTGACAGCAACAACAAATACGAGCAGCAGCTGCAGTGCCTTGGGGCCGTTTCGTGCGGATGTCAAAGACTACCAATTCGTTAACTCCCCGCCACCTGTTTCCTGTATTCGTCTTGAAAAGCCTGAAGCCCTCGCACAAGCACCTTCCCCCTTCCTCAGCCTTTCCACTTTCAGGGTGGTTAGTTTCCACGAAGAGTCTCTGCCTCCTGCGATTGTTACTCTTTATACCACTTCTTTGCATGCGCTGCGTAGGTTTCTGGGCTAACAGCTTCTATGACGATGGGCATAAAGCCGTGAAGAGCACCGCAGAGTTCGCTGCACTGTCCATAAAAGACGCCTTCTCTCTGAATGAAGGTGTTCACTTTCTGAAGTCTTCCTGGGATGGCGTCAGCCTTGATACCCAGAGCAGGCACAGCCCAGGAGTGGATGACGTCGGTGGCAGTCACGAGAAAACGAATATGTGTGCGTGTCGGAAGCGTAAGGCGTCTGTCCACCTCCAAGTTACGCAGCATACCAGGCAGAAGATCTTCGTCAGAAACCATGTTGCTCTGAAAGGTGTAGTATGTCGGGATCGAATCCGGGTTCTCTAAATACTTCGATGGAGTCGGATAATCCGAAGCAGACACAAGTGACACAGAAGGTTGCCCAACAGAGACTGGTAGCACCGCAGGAGCTCCTCCTTTGCCTCCTGCTCCTGCTACTCCTGCTCCTCCTCCTGCTGCCGTAGATAGAGAAGAAGAGCTTCGACAGTGAGCGGGACCAGAAGCCACAGAGGAAAACAACAAACCCGTGCCCGCCACCTCGTTGGGTGAACCAAACCACGAACGCATGCGCTCGAACATCTTAGCTGCTTCTATGAAGTCTGCGGATCCTGCTGGTGATGCTGATGATGATGAGTTGAGACCTTTGTAGTTAGGTAAGCGCTGTGGCCCCAGTAAGGAAAGGCAAGCATACAAACGCACACACACACACAATCCCACGCTCACACTCTAACCGCTGCAAGTGCGGCTGCTGCTGCTGCCGCTGCTGTTGCTGCCCTCTAGGCCAGACGAAATGGCCTGTCCGTGAAAAGGTTCACCATAATTTTTCTTGAGATAAGCGAGATGAGATAATAAAACAGGTTCCAAAGTTTGTGCTGTTCACTCAGTCTCAATTCTGGCTGCTGCCGATGCTGCGGCTTCTGCTGCATCAGACTAGTGGAACGGACTGGGGCCCACAGCAGCGGCGGCAGCTAATAGGCGTCCCTTGGGTATACATGCAGGCAGCTGCACAAACTGCAAACAAATTAAGTGTATTAGTATCAGAGGGAAGTTCAGCGACAGCAGCAACAACACAGCAGCGGCGACACTAGAACCGCTGCAACACCAGTAGCTGCAGCAGCATAACCGTTGCTGCTGCCGCAGCCTTATAGACTTTCCCTTTGGATATTGCTGAAAATTCGCTGAATTTTAATTCAGATACGGACTGTGTGACGAGAATAAACAAAGCAGCGCCCGCCTTCTTGGCATTTGGGGAACCAGCAGCAACAAGAGTTGCAGCTGCAGGCGGAAGATGGTCGACTACAGCAAGTGGGATAAACTGGAGGTGAGCGACAGCGACACAGAGTCCGATGAGGAGGCATCTGCTCCCCGTAAGCACGAGCTGCGTAACAGCAGCAGTAACAGCAGCAGTAGCAGCAGCAGAGGAATTGACTACAGCAAGTGGGATCACATTGGCGACGAAGAAGAGGAGGAAGAAAAGGCGCATGCACCTCGAGTGAGGCGCTTAACAAAGGACCAGACTGTGAGCATTGGACCTTCAGGATTCGATATACTTTCGAAAGCAGAGGCAACAAGGCGGCAGCAGCAGCAGCAGCAGCAGCGGGAGCAGCAAGAGCTGCTGCAAAAGTGGGTAGAGGAGGAGCAGCAAGAAGCACTGAGTGAAACTGGGATGTCTTTTGAAGATGCTCACGAGTGGCCTCGCTGCGGGGCGGTGCAGGCAGCGGAGTTGCCTCCAGCAGCAGCTGCAGCAGCAGACGCAGCAGCAGCTGCAGCAGGACTCCCTGCAGTACTGTCAACAGGCATAGGGAAAGCTGAAATGGAAAAGCGAATCAGAAATGGAGGTGTAAGTCCAGGCCGCTATTTCTGGAGCCAAACACCAAGTGAAGTAACCCTCTCTTTGCTGCTTCCTCACGGTGTCAGGGGTAGAGACCTGCGTGTACACCTCACAGAGCAGACCCTTCGCATCTGCTGCACTCCGGATTCCCTGCTCTCCACCACCACCAGCAACGGCAGCAGCAGCATCGACGGCAGCATTAGAAGTAGTATCGGGGAACACGTTCTTCTGGAAGGCAGCTTCCCCCACCCCGTAGAAGCCGATGATGACTGCTGGCTCTGGGAGGTGACGGAGCGACGCATCAACTGGCAGCAGCTACAGCAGCTTGCTGAACAACAGCAACAACCTCAAGCACCTAGTAGTAGTAGTAGCACTGGCAGCAGCAGCAGTGACAGCAGCAGCGGCAGCGGCAGTAACGGGAGCAGCAGCATGCAGGACCTACCTCAGGAGGTCCTTCCTCCCCCATTGTTTTTCTTGGATCTTCACCTTAGGAAGAAGAAGATTCTTCCTACTGCTGATGTTTGGTGGCCGCGCATTCTGAAGGTAACCCATTGTTCTGCGTGTGTTGCTGCTGCTCTTGCTGCCACTTGCTCTGCAACATGCAATTTCTTGAGCAGAAGCAGCTTGCGCTGCTTCTTTTGATGGCTTTTCTTGTGCTGCTGCTGTTGTAGCTGAGTGAATTTGAAATGTTGGTGATATTGCTCCTGCTGTTGCGGCTGTCCAGGGGGAAGCAGGCATCGATGTGTCGCAGTTGGCCGGTCGACGCCACAGGGAAAAAACTCAGAGTTTTAAAGATGCGTGGTATGCAGCGCATGCAGCATTCAAAGAGAAAGTAAAGCATCACCCCAGGAGCAATTTTGCTGCCCTTCTTGCTGCTGCTGCTGCAGATGCTGCTGCTGCCGACGGTGATGGCCCTGCTGGCGACAGTGTTGCTGCTAAGGCTGCTACAGCAGACGGCCACGACAGTGCCAACCAGCAGCAGCAGTAGTAGCAACAATGGTAGCAGCACTAGCAACAGCATCGGCCTAGCGATAGCACTCAGTGCCTTACTGGATGCAGCAGCTTTACCAACTGCTGCTAGTGAAGCGGCAGCCTGTCAAGCATCTAGGATTCACGTTGCAGCTGCTACAGGGAGGCGGCGCGAGTCCCCAGCGCCGCAGCTGTTGGATTGGCGCGGGCATTAGTGGAAACAGCTGCAGCACTGCATGCAACAGTAGCAGCTGCTCCACGGCGACTCTTTTTAATGGTGCGCGTGATGGCGCAGAGCCTTTAGGTGGTAGTCCCCCCTGTGATGTATGGGCCGACAGACACACACTGCAGGATCCAGTGCAGCAGCAGTGCTGCAGTAGCAGCGACAAAGGGACCAGCAGGAGTGGCAGGGCAGCAGCACTAAGCAGGTAAGAGTTTGGTTGCTGTACGTGTTGGCGGTACGTAGATTTGGGGCTACATGCGGCAGTGCGCCTCAGACGCCGTTCGCAGCGACCGTTGCTTCTGCTGCCACTGCTGCAGCAGAAGCAATATTAGGCGGACTAGAATTTAGTAGACAGAGTGCCCGTGACTGAACAGCAGCAGTAGCTTGTGCATTTGACATCGGATGTGCAGCATTTTAGCGGCGCAAAGTATCGTTGATTCGAAGCATCAAACAAGGACAGTCCTCAGCAGCTCCTGTGAAATGCAAGGGGCTTGCTTGAGCAGCTGCGTCAAGACTGCTGCTGCTGAAGCCATCGCTGCTTCATGGGCATCACGAAAAAGCGGTATCAGCAGCACTCTGCTGCTACCACTGTCTGTGCTGCAGCAGCAGCGACCTATCGGGCAAATGGCGGCCCCAAGTTCATTCGATTGGGGCGTACACATTCGTGTACGAGTAACTGCGTGCAAAAGCACATCGACAACGGCAACAGCAGCTGCTGCTGCAGCAATGAGTACAAGGCGTCAATGCACCGCCCGCAAACTGCCGCTATGGGCCTTCGCCTAAAGCGAACTAGAGGGCCCGCACGTCTAGGAAGAGCTTAGAGGCCTTATGCATCTACGGTTTAGGATTTAGGTCTTACCTAGAGAAGAGGATGAAAAGCCAGCGGAACCACACCAGCTGTGAAGAATGGCACATCATTCCCCTGAAGGCAGATGCACGAGCAGTGAAGACAACGGAAACTGTAGCAGCGGCAGCAACTCCAGGAGCAGCTCGTTCTACTGCCCCAGTTGTGACTGTTGCCCCCATAAGAAGCAAAAACACTCCCCATGCTAGTCAGTCGTCCGAGCAATAACACTAGAAGCAAACTCTACACCAGCAGCATATACAGCAGCAACAGCAACTGCAACAGCGGCTGCAGCAACAGACCTTATAGCGGAGAGAGGCGTAAGGTTGGCTGCAACGTCTCTGAGCACAGATGGGCGCAAATTTGATATAGTCCTATTGCCGTCACGGCAGCAGCAGGGAACACTAAGCGGCAACTCCCGCCCCCCGCGAATGAGCAGCAAAGGCGTCGTCAGCAGCAGCTGTGGCAGCAGCTTAATCAACCCCACCGGGATGAAGGGCAGTTGCAGCAGCCATCTCAAAAGGAATAACGACGAAGCAAGACTGTGGATGAGCAGCAATATGAACAGCAACTACAGCAGTACTAGCAGCAGCAACAGCGACAGCCACGCACACGCCTTTGTTGTTGGCTTCCACAGTGGCGGGTATAAGGTTGAGAACGCCGCAGTATTTGCGGAGCAGGCCGTGTGTTTGTAGGGAGAAGATGAATACTGAAGGCAACATACGCAGCTCCTGCTGCTGCTCGCCATCTGTCACCTGCAGCGGGTCTTCGTCTGGTCGCTCCCCAGCATCGGTGAGCAATCCAAGCTCCCCCATTCGCATCTTCTGTTGTTGCTCATTTTTAAGTCTGCATGTTTCAATAACGCCTGCGTTCAACAGCCTGATGAACAAAAAGACAAAAACCTGCGCCTGCAGCTCCTGCTGCAGCTGTTCCTGCACCAGCTGCTGCTGCCACTGCTGTTGGCGTTGGTTGCTGCTGCTTACTTGAGTCCCTCATAAACGCTGACGTGGTTTGGATGGCTCGACACCCCACGGCAATCGAAGGTGAATATCTGCGGCAAGCAGAAAGGCCTCGACAAAAAGTTTCGCCTCCTCTCTAGCTGGAGCCATGCATGCACAGTAGAACAACAAGGAACAGGCTGGCATGCAATAAGCAGGCAAGCAGCTCCAGAAGCAGCTGCAGCACAAGCACTCGACGTGAGGCGCCGGCTCACGCAGTTTATTCGTTGCGGCCTATCTCTAAGGAAGCGCTGCACTGCAGCACACACCGACTTGCTGCTCCACTTATTCCAGCCGTCCTTCATATCTCCCTCGTCAACACAGCAGACGTTCTCCTTGAGGATGCCGAAGGCAGCTGCTGCAGCAAACAGCTCCGCCTTGCGTGTTGTACCCAGTCCAGCGTAGTCCCCTGCAACAGCAAACGGAACAGCAGCAGCACACGCAGTAGCGATGGCAATGTCTACAATACCGCAAAGAGGAATGACGGCCAACACAAAACACAATCCCGACTGCTGCATTGGCGCCTGCTGCAGCAGCTGCTGGAGCAACCTCCAAACCGGCAGGAAGGGGAGCAGCAACTGAGGCGCCAGCAAGCTGGTTCTACAACAGCGGTGGCGGCGGCTGTTTCAGCAGCGGCAGCATCCCAAAAGCCTGCCATTTCTGCTAAGGAGAGGTTTGGCGATACCAGTAGAAAGGCAAAGCAAGAAGACTTCGAATCTTTCCTTCTTTGACGCAAAAAGGGACAAACTAGGGGCAAAGAACATGCACTCGTCATCAGGGTGTGCTGTAACAAACAGAACCCCGATTTTTGCTTGTTCTTCCCTTTCGTCGCAGCAGCACTTCTCTTCGTTGCAATCTTCGTGCTGCTTCTTCGGATCGCTGGCTTCCTCTGACGGACCCGGGTGCTGTTCATGCCCCTCCTTTTGCAGCTGTTGCAGAAGCAACTGCTGCTGCCTCCGCTGCTGGTTTACGAGAGCAACGATGAACCTCTCGAGCCTCCAGTTGTGAGCAAGGCGGGCATTGTAAAGAATGCTGCCTATACACCCGCAGCAGAATAGGGTGCAGCAGGAGACCACAAGCCAGTCACTGCCCCCCACATCAACCAGCGCAGCACGAAAAGCAGCACGGCCTTCATAAGAAAACAAACGCGGCAGATACTGCAGCAGCGTGACGGTTAATGCAGCACCTACGGCGCCCAGCGCTACGCCGTAGTTCGTGTTGCTGCTGCTCCTTACACTGCTGCTGCCACTGCTGCTCCCGTCTCCACTGCCACCGTTGCTGCCGTTGGTGCTGCTGCTGCCGCTGCTGCTGCCGCTATTGCTGTCGCCGCTGCTGCTTCTTCTTCTCGGGTCGCCTGGAGGAACAGCAGCAGGGGCGGGAGATGTGTCTGTTGAGGCTGCTGTGGCCATCTCTTCAACAGCTCCTAATTTTGTGATATTCGCAGCAGCAGCCATCCTTCAGTCAAGCAACCCCCTCAGAATCCGTTGCTGTCTGTGCTGTTGCCTGCCACTGACCGTTTTTGAATGAGCTCTTGCAGCCGGTCAATTTTGCTGCTCCGCTTAGCTGGTACTGTCCTGAAGACATACGACAAGTATAGGAATTTTTAAAAGGTGACGAAAATTTAGTATAAAAGACAAACAGGACAAAAACAGAAGGCGAGACAGTGCTTCAATTCAAACGTACAACTGACACCAGTGACCTTGCATGCAACAAGACCTACAGCAGCAGCGGCTGTTGCTGCTGCAGCAATCAATTGCAACAGCAGTGGATGCTACCGTTCCTTTGAGATTTCCAATAGATGTAGGTCACTTCTGAGCGGTTTAGCTGATGTTGTAGGCTTCATCCCATATAGAACTGTTCCAGGAAGTTGCTTGCCCTGCTGATATCTCTGGTGCTGGGACGGCAGCAGCGACTACTGCCGCTGCTTCAACGGCGGTCTTCCGATCGCTGTTGACACCTCTCGCGTTCATTTCGTTCAACAACTGTTCGTTCATGGTGGGTCGGCGCTGCTATGAGTAGCGCCGTACCGCTGTTGTGCTGCTGCAGAGGACGCTGCCGCTGCGGCGCCAGTACAGGTTTTCCGCTCGCTTTTTGGGTGCCAGGATGGCAGCTACATTGCACGAAACAGAAACAACAGCCTCAAGAATAGCAGATGCAGAGAAGAACTCTACTTCCTCTACTGGTCCTGCGGAGTTGCTGCTGCTGACTACAGTCGTACTGGGGTTGCGCGTGGATACCCTCTGCAGCTGCACAAGCAAGTAGCCGATGCACTTACTGAGTGTCGTTACGCTTTTTAAGTTGCTATCCCTGCTTCCATCCTTTTTTGCGTACCTGACCATCTCTTCTCCCTCCCCTCATCGGCTGTCTGTGCGCCTGCGGCCGCATATGTATATTATTTTTGTGTTTGGCGCAATCTGGTGTCTCCTTTTGTATGCACATTCTCCTCTTCAGTCCTGTGGAAATAGCTTGTTGCAGCGGCTGAGTCCTTTTGTCAGCTACTGTGGGGGGAACATTCCCTTGAACCCCTCTTGTGCTGCTGCTGCGCCCTCGTATGCTGCTGCTGCCTCACTTGTCGATGCTGCTTGTGGTCTTGCTACTACCTGTCATCCTGGTACTGCGTGATGTGTTGCTGCGGCTAGTTGTGTACTATCGTTGCATGGATGGCTGGCGCACTGCATTTTGTTTGCTGCCTAAACAACTAGGTGTCCCTTTGTTTTGTGTTCTGACCGTACGAGTTCTCCGTCACTCTTCCACGTCTCAGAGGGGCTTCTTTCCAGGTGCATCTGGTTTTAGGTTCAGGGTCTAGGATGTTTAGACTTAGGATGTCGTAGGGTGTAAAGAGCTCAGGGTGTGCACGGTTTAGAGGAATTTGAACCTTTAGGGGGGTTAGACTGTGTAGATAGATGGTTTAGGACATTTACGGGGTATAGGAGATTTATATTGTTTAGAGGATATAGAGGGTTTAAGATGGTTTGGGGTTGGCGGGAGGCACTTGACGGAGGCCCTCGCCACACCGGCACCTGGTGCGTGGTGGGCTGAACATACGAGCAGCGAATGGTAGGACTGAGACAAGCCCAACACGAGAAAAAAAATAGCAACAACGTAGATCCGCAGCGGCGACGGTCAGCACAAAAGGCAGGACTGTCTGCTGCTAACGGGGTCTTTGGGGTGCGGAGGAGGAGACAGATATCAGCAGAGGCACGAATAGAAACCCGAAGAAAGAGGCACGTGTAGAACAAAGGGACACAAAGCAGTGGCACGTTGCTGGCATTCTACTGGGAGAGGCACGAACAGAAGCCCAGAGAAAGGGTTATCTGTAGAACAGCAGGAGGGGAGAGAGAGACACAAAGCAGTAGCATGTTGCTGCGCATAGCCTCGAACAAACAAAAGGTGGCCTAGTAAGGGGGGCAATGCTGTGGATACTCCATAAGTGACAGAACAGCAGGCGAGGTAGTGAAATATGTGAAAAGCCTGCTGCTGCTCTTCCGGTGTTGGTGGTTTACTGCAGCAGATGATCCCTGGGAGACTGCGAGAGCCTTCTTGCAGCATGTCGATCCGTCGGCATGTAGTTCTCGCCGTATAGGTGCGGCTGCTGCACGTGTTTGTGATCACTGCTGCTGAGGCCGTATCCTTTGGTGCATGGTTTTACCCGTAACTGCAGATGAACACTGTGCTGTAGGCGTCTATGCTTCCGTGGCCCTGCAACGCAGCAAGTGGGATGCAACTCCGTGCAAAACTGTCGCTTTATGCAGGAGCCCTTGCAGCCCACCTGGAACACCAGCAGCGTAATGCTCTTGCAGCAGCTGCTGCAAACAAAGCGGCAGGGAGAAGCATCCTCAGAGGCTGCTCAAAGGACTACCGAACGGCAGCGAACGGGGAGGGAGGTACAGCAACTACAGCGGGGAGTATTACTTGCAGCAGCAGCAGCGGCTTGGGCAGCAATCACCAGGCCATCCGTGATCTGCACCAAGAGCCCATATCAGCGTTAGCAGTAAAAGCCAGTACAGAAGCGAATGCTGCACGGCATGAGGCCTGTGGTGGTGCTGATTTGGCCGTTGAGGGGTCAAAACAACAGCGTTTGCTTCGTACCAAACGCGGTGAGCATATTGCCTGGGGAGGGTGGACTCCGAGCAGCAGAAGCAGCAGCAGCTGCAGCAAGCGATGCAGCAGGAGCTGCAGCAGGAGCTGCAGCAGGAGCAGCAGTGGCCCCCTTCATTGCACCAAACCTTCTAGGACTTCGCCCCTGTGGAATAGGTACAGGAGCAGCAACAGTTTGGGGGAATGCCAATCCACGAGAGACGAGAACTCAGCAGCACCAGAGTGCGCTGCTACTTCGTTTGCTGCTACCCCTCCTGCTGCCATGGATCTTGCCGCATCAGCTGTTGCTCTTCATGCACCAAGCACCCCGCAGCAGCTTCTGTTATCAGCAGCAGCGTCTAATACCGCAGCACCAGAAGAAGTAGCAGCAGCAGCTGCCGCTGTTGTTGCTTCTGCTCCTGAACCTGTTCCAAGTGCAGGTTGCCTCAATGCCCCAACTGCAGCGACAGCTGCTGCTCCCCGTACGTTGCGTGCAGCGTCAACTGAGCAACAGGGGCAGCAGCGCCAGCTGCAAGGGGCCCCAAATAGCCTAATGGGCCAGAACCAGCAGCAAGTGCCGTTGCAACGGTTGCAGCGGCAGAAGGAGCACACTCATCCAGGACTCCTTGAGGGATACCCAGCTTTTCAGTGTCCTGGGGGTCGTCGACTAAAAGTCATGTATTGCAGAAGCATCCAAAAGAGCAACAGCAAGGGCAGCGCCAATTGCAGCACTGGTAAATGCAGGAGCAGCAACACAAAAGCGAGCATGATTGGAATTGGGAGAACCAGCAGGTGCTGGTTGCTGCCCATGTTGCAACCTGAGGGTGGCAATGCAACAGCAACGACAACAGCGAGCATGACAGCAGTTACCGAAGCAGCAACACAGCAAAGAGCGGCATCGGCAGCGAACCCAACCGCAGCATATGTAGCGCACCAGTCTGCTTTGGGGAGGATGTGCATTTTCCCAGCTAAGGAAAGATGCAACAACCACGAGGGTGCTTACAACAGCTGCCGCGCACCAGGATGTCTCGCTGATGCTTCTGTTCTTGCTGCATCTGCTTCTGCTGGCCGCACCTATAACACATGCTATGACTCAACTACCTACCACAGCAGCAGCAGCAGTAGCAGCAGCAGCGTTGTTGGCTTCATTGCCAACAGAGGATTGAGCAAGCCAAGCAACCAAACGGGCCGTGGAGAAGCTTGCGCCCGTGTAAAGGCCCCCAAAACATCTCTACAACAGCAGCAACACCGGCAGCAGCAACCCTCTGGCCATCCCAAGGTTCGCCTAAGTGCATGTGCTTGGATTGGCAGGATCGGCAGCAACAGCAGCGGGAAAGGTGGCCCATGGCGAGCTAATCAACTGAGGAATTGCTTTAGCGGCAGCAGCTGTTGTTGCAACAGAGCGCTTGTGGAGGAGCAAATTAAAAGCTGCAAAAACAGCAGCAGCAGGCGATTGATGCCTGTCACAGGCGTCATAAGCAGCACGAATATGAGACACATCAACAGCATCTTATTAAGACCTCACAACGGCAGAAACGTGTCAAAGAAGCAGGGGTACAGAGACTGTGTGATCAGCACCTGAAGGGAAGGGCATTGGGGCCACTTCCGTGTTCCATGTAGGCCTGCAGCCGCAGCAATATTGCCGCTGGCTGCTGCTGCAGCGTCTGCTCCTTCTATCGTTGCTGTTTTCGCAAGTGATGTGGGAAAGGCGTTGGGCAAGCTGCTGCAGGCGCTCGTTATCGCTGCAGCTCGAGTTGCCGTTGGCCCTGTCTCACCAAGCAATAGCACGGTTGCATTGCCACTGTGAGTGACTTCTGGTTCAACTGGCTGCCACAATGAGAGAAAACAACGAGGATGGGTATCAGAACAGCTCTTTTGGGGTCTGCACGGTTGACTAGCTGGTGATTGTTTGTGGTGTCTTCAGATTTTGTAAAAGTTCATTAACTGGTGTCTTAAGTTGAGGCATGCATAGGCCATTCATTGCCTTGCTGGTGGCCTCGCTGTTGTCCATGCAGGGGCCTCATGCCCTTGGGGGCCGTCGACAGCCGCTCCTTTTTGTTTGTAGCAACTCCCTTGCCTCCTATCTTCGCGTTTTGCTTCCTTCCTCCGCTGGGCCGCTGCCTGCTAATGGTATGGTAGTAGTACTGAAGATTACGATGTTCCTGATTCTACTAGAGCTTGCACTGTTAGGATATAGGGTGACTAGGGAGTGCAGCTTTCACGTCCCCGTACTTCTCCATCTCGAAAAAAGCGCCCTTCGGCCAACGGTTAAAATTTTTGAACATATGTTCAACGTAAAGACTGCGTGCGAGGCTCGTGAGTGGCATGTACGGTTATGTAGAGTCCTGGTGGAGCGCCGCATACCTTTCCTGCTCCCGCTGTACAGCAAATCGATTCTTTTGTGTGGGAGATAGGTCCTACGGTATGCCCGACCCCTCTCATGGGTTCCACGCATATAAATTGCACGATCACCCTTTTTCTAGCCGTTCATCTGCCAGCGTAACGGTCCGGCGAAGTAAAGTAGAGGTGTTGAAGAACGGAATAAGTAACACAGTAAGTGTTGCTCAGACCCTCGGGTCGAGACTGGGGCGGCCACGCCCGCCATCAGCTTAAATGTTTTCTTTTGGGAAGACTTCTTCAGTCTTAATTATGCTAGACACATCTGCTTGCAGATCTACATCTGAAGCCTGCATGTGGTTGCGTGCGGTTCAGCTGAGGTGCGTACCTCTGCTGGCATCGCAACGGAAGACCCATGCAGGGGCGATGCAAAAATGACCTCATTAAGGGGACATCGACGGTTCCTCAAGTACTTCGGAGTTCTTAAATGCAGCAGCATAGCTCTGGATTGCAGCGTTGTTGCCCATGCACAGCCCAGCGAGCAAACCGTGGGCTCTACACTGAACCCCTACAATGAACCCACAATATAAAACCGCAAGCCCTAAACTGCAACATCTCCAACGGGCCCAACGTGTTGCCCCTTTTTGTGCAAAATTGTCTCAACACTCTCTAAAGAGGAAGCGTCTTGCAGAGCGGCAGTGCATGCTGAGTGCTCGCGCATGCAGTTTAGCCACACTTCATCGTGGGCCCCAGCCCTGCTTGCACGGAAATTCAAGTTGGAGAAGATAAGTGTTTATTTATTCAGAACGCAGTTGCACTGTACTTAATACGCATTACTTGATACACTTGAGTGCGTGCAGGGGGCCCAGGGAGGCCCAGCCTTCCGCCTACAGAAGTGCAGCCACGAAGGCCCAACTCCTGAACGAAGCGAAATTGACCAGCTGGTGTGAACCCACTGCTGCGGGGTTCGATTCAGGAGCAGCAGCAGTCAAAATAGCAGCAGTGTTATGGCAGGCACTGGCGAGTTCTTGAATGGGGGGCCCACTTCAGGGGCACCCCAGTCCGTGGTGCCGGTGAATGGGGCCCTTCAGGAAGGGCCCCCCTCCCCGGATTCGAGGCGTGATGAGTTTTATCTGACAGATCGTCTGCCGCATGCAATGGTCTTAGATGCGTTGCCTTACGTCGACCCGCTGCCCGCTGAGCAGCAGCAGCAAGTGCAGCAGCTGCTTCAGCAGGAAATGGCAGCAATAGCACGGGAGGCCGGTGGCCCTGATAGTCTGCCAGACTACCTCAGCGACCTCCCGATACCTAAAACGCCCGTCCTAGATGATGCGGAGACCATGTTAGGCAAGGAGATCGCCCGGAAGGCAAAGGGTTAGCCTGTTCTCCTTCAGGGTCTAGGGAGGAAGGTTTAGGCTGTTGTGCTTCCACCCTGCATCAAGAGCATCTAATTGTTATTGAATGTGCATTTGTAGTCCGATTCCTTGCTTGTGCAGCTGCTCTGCCAGATCGGTAGTAGCCTTTCTCAAGCTTTCTTCCTCAATGCCTGGTGCTTGTCTCATTGATTTTATATATATATATATATTATATAT